TTACTACCTCTATGGTTAACTTAATCTACCTACCTACTTATCCTACGCCATGTAAATTGCTGAATTAAGAATCATTGTATTTTCGAAAGTACTTTCACTCAATAATATTACCTCGAAATAAGGATTAAAAACAGTTATTCGAGGACAACTAAACAAACATTATACTTACATTGCGTATCGTCGTCAAAACAAAACCACAATAATTGTTGACGAGTGATGTGCAAAACAAACTATTGAAGATGCAAGATTCAAAGCCAACGACTGAGCAGCAACGTCGCGTCGCGCCACGCGTTGCTGAGGGAATTAAAGGTGAAAATGTGAATGAGTTTACACGATTTAATGCATGCGGATACACAAGTTGTTGCGGGATCCCGTAGGGCCTAAAATTACGCAGGATTGCGTGATCCCACTTTGCTGGATTGCAATTCTTAGATGTGAACTTACGGATTAAACAAAGTATGCGTCTACTGGATTTTAGTATGTCGATATCATTCTTCCTTGGAGATTTTCTGAACCTGTAACGGTTTAAACACTTTTTTTGTTGATAAAATGTTAAAATAATGAATTATCACGATAAAAATTCACATGTTTCAGTTGTATCGCAAGAAATGGCCTCATATCTAATGTAACTAGTGGTGCTACAGAATGGCACAGACTTTCCGGTATTAGTTTTCTATTTACTGTGGTCTCAGCCAGCTGCTCGGACTTGCCACGTAATCTTGCCTACTGCCATCTACCGCCGTCCGCAGTACATTTTTTTTTGAAATGTTCCTAATTTTTCGGTTTCTTAATAGCACAACAGAAATATTATTTTAAGAGTATTGAAAAAATAGTAAAATGTCGTTTTCAAAAACATGAGCGTTACTGTAAATTCGAAATTTGAACTCTTTTTAGAGAAAATCTTTGGGTTTCGAAAAACTTCATTTGAAGCATATCTCGCAAAGTGTTTACAACTCGAGGGAAATATGCATATTAGCGGGGAAAGAGATGTTTTAAAAAGCGTACATTTGTGTAATTTTTGAAAAAAAAAACAAACAGAAAGATATCCCGAAAGATATGAGCTTTACGTCATATTAAAGATTGCAATTAGCACTGTGCGTTCGGAAAGTCCGAAGAAAAAATTTGGAGCCATTTTTGAGAAAATGACGTTCTAGCATTTCTGAAAATACGGAATTTTGATCTAGTTTTCACAAAAAGCGGTGGTGTTTTCGAGAACCTTTGTGATATTATTTAAAGTACATGCACTCATAAATATAATAAGAACATATTGCAGCTAATATAAATATTAACGACGTAAGAGAAGTAAAAAAATTAATTTTTTGAAAAAACTAACAAACAAAAAGACAGAGTAATATAGTGACTATGTCATCTTATAGAGAACATACACAACGAAAAATTTAAAGAAACAAATTGCAGCCGATTTTCAGAAAATCTTGTTTCTGTAATTTTTTAAAATTGCACAAATTTCTCGCAATGTTGCGCGAAAACTTTTTTTTTTATTTATTGTCTACCTGTTCAACATACATGTTTTTCAGGGTTGTGAATACAATCATACATAACTGTTGTTTATTTCCTAACTGTGGGTGCCTCGACGGATGCGATAAATGTTTTTGGTTGTTTTATTTTTTTATTAATAATTTAAATTATTACGGAAGTATATTATAATACAGAGAATGATCGTTGATATGATTATTCGATGAAGATTATATTACTTTGAGGCCCATTTTCTGTTATTTTATGCTGTGGTCTGAATCTGTCTTTAGGAAGCGTGAGTTGATGCGTAAGTTCGGTTCTGCTGTGCGTCCAAGGTTGAAAATGGAGTCTGGGAGATGAGGGGATTGATGTGAAAAAATCTTCGGACATGTTTGTAATGCTGTTCTTTTATGTAGAACTTTGACGTTCGTGGTGGATTTGCTTGTTCGAAAAAACCATGGCGCTTTAATTATAGTTCTTAGCGCTTTATTTTGTATAGTTTGCAACAGGTTATATTGTTTTTGCTGCATTTCCCTATTGGCATTGCATAAGTCATAGTGTCGAATATAGGCATGGAAATTATCATTCCGGTCTCTATTTTTAAGGAGTATTTTTGTTAATAGTGTGTAAGTGTGTGGAAATTTTGCTTGTGTTTTTGTTCCTTGTGGCGTGTAAATATGTGTTTTCCAGTTTAATTTAGTATCAAGTTGCATTCCAATATTTTGCTGCTGAATTATTTGCAGCCCAGTGAATATTTTCGTTGCGCGAAAACTACTATATTTTCAAAATCTGTACATGACCTTAAAAAAAGGTCTCAGTATGGAGAAAAAAATTTATTTTTAAAGGAAAAATCTCTATCTTCATTTTTGTAGATATAAGACGCACTAAAAATTTTAAAATTTTCGAAATTTCAGAGTTAAACCTTAAAATTGAACATATACCACGTTTATAAGTGTATTTTACTCTATTCTTACAACAAATTTAAAGAAAAAAATTGGAACCTTTTTTCAGAAAAGATTTAAAATGTCGGTGGAGTTTTGTGTAAAGTACGCCCATACTGTTTCTATACAAATAGAGACTATACCGAGCATCCAAAAGGAATGTAATATTAATTTTAACAATGACATTTAATGTATTATATATCATTTGGGTTATATAATGGTAAAGAACCTGTAAGTATTGTACTTCACCTTCTGGGTCAATGACCCCCATCTCGATCAGGTTTTCGTCCAGTTTCCCTGATCCTTGAGCAAATGCTGAGATGGCCCCTTATTTGGCTTCTGGACATAAATGTAATTTTAAATTAACTGCTCCCATAGCCCGTCACACACAGTTTTTAACTTTTTTTACATAAATAAATAAATGTTTGTTCGTATTTTATGCGATGCCGAACCGTTCATGCGATTCCATAAAACTTAGTCAACTTGTTGCTTGCACTTGACCTAAAGTTATAGGCATTGTACAGTGGGAATGTGCGTGTGTTTATCGCACATAAACGCAAAATGGGGGCGTTGGTGATTATGATTTATGAGTTTATGATACATGCGCGGGTAATATACGTAGTATATAGAAAGTTATGTAATGCTGTGAGAAAAAAAATTTGCGAATTTTTGGCAGAAAAATTCTCATTGCCGGGCTCAGATAACTAAAAAGTGGATAAATCCAGTTGCTAAATTTAGAAAAAATCCTCTGACACGTGGTGATTCCATATTTTGTGGGTCCTTGACATGAAAAAATCAATTGACAGCAAAACCTCTGTCCGTCTGTGAACACCACTGGTGCCTAAACCATCCGTAGGATGGATATTCCCCGTTCAATCTGGCTCGACTCGATGCGCTGCGATTTTGAAAATCTTTCTTTAAAATCTTCTAAGAGCGCTCAACCATAGGGTTATCCCAAAAATGTTATAGCGAATTATAAGATTAACATATTATAACTTGGGAGCATGGATGAATCTATGTTAATATATGTTGGAGGTTGTATTTACTGTAATATATTCCAGCTCCTTGGAGGTTGTTACATGGATGAATGTTGTTCTATGATAATATTCTATCTCGTTGCTTTACTCTAAATATCTAAATAAAATTAGAATGTAGTTGACATTTTGCGGTTACGTGATGACGCCAAGCCCGTAATTCAGGAAACAGCGAATCAGAAGCTACGGCATTTGCTCCTTATTGTCACCTAAAATTAAAGAACACATTTTACAAGCAAACAACTGTAATAAATTTTACGAACAAACTGAGACGAGTTTCTCAACATTATTTTCTTCTGTTTATCTACTTGGTGTTGAGAGCACGCAGTAGAGCGCGCAATATGCGGCAATGCCACAACCTCCACACCCAAATATCAACTACGTTCTAATTTTATTCGTACGATAGCAAAATGGGAGCCCAACACACTGAGAAGCTACATTCGTCCCAAAGCAAAACAAGGTGCCACATCAACATTTGCCCAATTAATTAGAGAAACTGATCGAAAAATCTTATCGATATTAATTGTCACTGACCGAGAAGCTGAAGTGCATTACGCGCCGACATATTTAGTAGTTTTTTTAAATATACAATACAAATATTAACTAATGTATTAAATATTACTCTTTTGAATAGAATGTCACTTTTTGAAGGTCTCTAATTGTAGGGAAACAGGCAGTAAAAGAGATTTTTCTTGGCCCTTGAACTTGTGTATCTATTTTTAATGTTTATATATGATATTTGATAGTTAAATGCCAGTTGTGATTGTTTAAACACAAAAGGCAAAATACCGTAGAACACCACCTATTCTATTCATCCATCTGTATGAAGTTTGGTGAAACCCATGGTGGAAACCCGCACCATCGATTAATATACCCCACACAAGGGATAAAGGATGAATAGTATATGTGCTCATACTACAGTTTAGTATATGTAAATGTATGTATGTATATATACAGACACGCATACCTACACACACGTGTATGTGTGTTTAGTATTAAACCACAGTATAGTGTGATTAAACGGTGCTTCTGGACGAAAATGTAGCTTCACAATGCGCACGTTTGGTTGAACTCTTCTGTTGCTTGTAATGGTAAAAGTACAGGTAAGAGCGAGTTTCTATTTTGTTAGCAATGCAGAAAAATCATACTTACAATTCTTGTATCGATGCAAATAAGTTTTCTATAACTCAGAAACGAAAATTACTATTTTTCAAGTATTGCTAATCTTGCGATTTTTGAAATTTATTTTTAAAATTCATTTTTGAAATTTATTTTTATTTATGTTTAACTTTTACTCATGTTTCAACTATTTATAGTTAAAATGACGGGAAGGGATTCTCGAACTCGAGAAAACGTGTGCAGATTTCCCCCCTACGTCATATACAGTTTCAGGCTCCAGCCGGTCCCATATGTAGAATTTACTCTTTGTCTTTGATGTTGAGCACTCTCTTTCTACTAAGCTCTTAGATTAGAGCATCGTTCAGAGAGTATATACACGTTCCGGAAGGATCAAGATTCTTTTCTTTACTCTGTACAGAATCTGAGGCGAGTGGTGTTCTTGTTGGGATCGTGGTAAGTTGTGAGTAAATCTTGTAAATCCTATTACATCGCACCTTCTTAAAAGCTTCGGCTTTCCTAAACGATTTTAAACGTTTGAAGTAACTTTGCAGATTATGTATTTTAACATTGTTTATATGTTAATTCTGTTGTGACTTTGTTACACGAACGCATTGGGTAGCTCGATCCACATTTCAGTTTTAATGTCTTATTTTACTGATCTTGGGGGAGAATCGTTGTAACAGTAGAATTATTGATTTTTTATTCTATTAATGTAAGATTTTTCTGTGTTTTTTTTCTTCTAGCGAGTGGAATTATTACTCATAACCTTATATTTGTGACTTCACAGGCAACATGGCGAAGCATAAAGGTGAAAAGAAAAACAAGTCTGCGATAAATGAAGTAGTTACTAGGGACTACACAATAAATCTTCACAAAAGATTGCATGGTGTTGGTTTCAAGAAGAAGGCCCCGAGGGCTATTAAAGAAATAAAAAAGTTTGCAATGATTCAAATGGGAACCCCTGATGTGCGAATCGACTCCCACTTGAACAAACAAGTGTGGTCAAGAGGAATCAGGTAAATTCAATTTTTATGCCACATTAGTTAGAATATAATAGTGTGTTCTGTATTTCCCTTACGTTAAATGTGTATTGCAACTTAAGTATGAAAATGCCACTGAATGTAACATTGAAGTTCCAATAATCTGAGCAACAGCTCTGGAATGTCTGTTCAAATTGCCATCTTCATAATATATTTAGAAAACTGGCCCAAAAGTGTAATGAAGTGTCCAATGAAAAGTTTTTATTTTGTGTAATTCACTTGCTAGTATAGGAAATGGGTTTAATCAGTGGGTCTTATACTAATGTAACTTTCAGTAATTGAGGTTATGAAGTTGCTGCGTGTTCCTTATGAGATTCCAATTATTAACAGCTCTAATTCAATCCAATAAATGAACAAATTTTGTTCTTGCAAATTTTTAATGAGTTAATAGGGCAAGTGGTTATTTGGAAGCTGGTAATGAGTGATGGTAATAATGTTTGTTGTATGAGATTTCATGTGGATGCTCACAGTTTGAGCAGCTTTTATATCCTCATGATAACAATTTTCTACCGTTGTTTTCTATATATTGTGCATTTGTAACAATGTGTTGTAAATATACCTTGTATTTATTAATTTAACATTTTTTTGTCATGTGCGAAAATCTTTGCCAGTACTGAAGTGACTAGTCTCAAATTGATGTATTGCAGGCGAAAGCTTATATTCCTGGTGAAGCTGTTGATTTCATTCATTAAAACTTAAATATACCAGCTGCCTTGTGAAATCTTTACTAGTAAAAGTAGAATATTATTTTCTAAGCATACTACTTCACTTGACTAAAGTTTTGAGATCTCACTTTTTTTTTGGCGTTTGGTTTGTCAGGCATTTTGTGTGTATATTACGATTCATTAATTGAAGTTTTGATGCTTATGCCTTTGAGTAAACTAATGCTTTTGTTTTTTTAGGAATGTTCCCTTCAGAATGCGCGTGAGGCTTTCCCGACGCAGAAATGATGACGAAGATTCTCCAAACAAGCTGTACACTTTGGTGACATACGTTCCGGTCGACACCTTCAAAGGAAAGCAGACAGAAAATGTTGATGTCAGTCAGGAGTGATGTAATACATGAAAATCAATAAATCATTGTTAAACTTTTTTAGTGTTTTATTGTTTTGTTTTAATTTTGCCTTAATGCAGATATCATTTAAAATTATTGGTCCTTTTAGAGGCATTATTGAAAACCCTTTGATTTTACATAATTAGAACTGGTATCCAATGCGAATGGTATGCATTCATACTACCCTGGTGTAGTATATGATAAGTCTGGTAAGTGTTCAAGTAGCATTATTTAAGTGGTTAGACGGCTATTTGCATGCATTTGTCATGGAGATTAATGCAAATTTCACCAGTGCAATTTTGTTAGGGTTGCAATCAAGGATTTATCTTATAGTATTTGCAGTGTTGTACTTGCCCTAGTCGAATTTGCTTCAATTTGAATAAGTATGGTGGAATTTCTGTAGATTAGGCACTTTGTTCCACCTTGTAATTCAGTATTTGCAGTGTCAGCATTGTTACTGATTAAATATATATATGCTAATATTCACTGGTAGAATTCGAGCAAGTTAGGGTGGAATTACTGTAGATTAGGCACTTAATCTTACTTCATTTGCAATGTCGTCGGTACTTAAATTCATTGGGGAATTCGAGTAAGTTGATAGAGCGAAATTTCTCGAGATTAGGCGCTTGGATCTTTAACGAGCGATGTTTTAAAGCTGCAGTTCGAAGTTCGCGCCAACGGCCGCCTTGTGTTGATGGGTGTCGATCTCAGATGCGATACGACGCCGAGGCGCACCAGCGGAATGGTGAGATGCCGCACCGTACAGTTCGAGTTCGATTTAATACCTTGCCCAGTAGGGGGACGTAGCTTACGTAGTAAAGATGTGAACTCGGGCGTAATAATTTTATATTTTGTAGGCAACTTTTATACGAATGTACATGTCAATAAAATTGTATAGTTGTAGTATTTCATAAATTTCGCGCTTTTGTATCTTTTATATCGGTTTTTACATCGTTAATTTTGCTAAGTCCACGTGTTTTAATACTTTATTGTGATTAAACCACTGTTTTATACTCGTGACTGCCTTTTGTGATATTAGTACTTTAGCAATGTCGTGTGATTGGGAAGATAACGAGTATCTGGATTTTAAAGAATTAGAGGAACAAATAACTCAAATAGTTGACAATGGCAATTTGGAAGAAATGCTACGTATACAGTTATCTGAACTTGAAATGCTACAATCCATGTTTTCGAATCCTGGGGAATTTTGTATCGATGACCCTAGTGTTATTGCGGATATAAATGAATTCTTAGATGGAAAAACCAATGCATACCCACCACGTTTGGATTTCGCAATTAATATAACAATTGACAAGGTATTGAAAGAGCCATGTATTTCATATCTTGGGAAGTGTTTTGACATTTAGTTATGTAAATAACTTATCCTCACATATTAACACATTCAATTCTTTATTCTCCAAGCTGTTACTGAAGTTATGTTTTGTTGTGGCACAGGCTAAATTTGAAGTTTGTGTGAATCTTCCTCATGATTATCCAGCTACTGAACCTGATATTTTTGTAAGAAGTGACAAATTGACTAGAAGTCAGCAACATGAACTTAACTGTGATCTATCCAGGCATTTAAATTCTTTAGATCGAGGAGAAATATGTATCTGCACTGCCATACAATGGCTGCAGGAAAATGCAACATGCTATTTGACAGAACCTAAGCCAGAACCAGTTATTAATCGACCATCAAGTGATGATGAGGAGAGACTATTTACTCGTTATTGGATTTATTCTCATCACATATATAGTAAAGTGAAAAGGCGTGAGATTCTTGACCTGGCTCATGAGTTTAATGTTACTGGATTTTGCTTGCCAGGTCGACCTGGTATAATTTGTGCTGAAGGGATAGCTAGAGACTGTGCTGAATGGTGGCAAAAGGTAAGCTGCGTTTTTGGCAGTAAAGTTTATTTTGAGTACTTTCTCTACTAAAATTATTCCTAGAAATAAAATTTTAATCATATGAATTTATTATAACTAAATTTGTTTTGTTACATTGATTACAGGTCAAAAGTATGAATTGGAAGAAAATAATGTGCAAGAAACGAGAAGTCAAGACATTGGAGGCAGCATCTGAGGCTGCTCAGTTACGCAAGTTCCCTCGGTTCCAGGAGGTAGCATTTGAAACTGAACGAACCAGTGGGAAGTCCCGAGACTGTCACATGGATATGGGCCAGTTTTTTTTGTATCTAGAAAAACATGATTGCAGTTACGTCTTCAAAGATTATTTTGGTGTAGATGGTAAATGTTAAATTTTAACTGCAACTTAGAAATTATTCATTACGTGTAGTTTTATTTAAGATGATGTGATTAGAGAAATTTATAAAGGTGGCTTGAACAATTGAAAATCCTTGTATGATGATTGGTTTAAGCATTAGGTGTTATTTCATGTCCAAAGTGCTTTTGTTTCAAGTCTTTGAATAATACATTACTTATAGGACAATGATGACAAAAAGTGATAAAAATAGTTGGACAAACATAGTCTCTAAGAGTTCTTGCTCCAAAACATTTTTCTTAATTTTCTCTTTTTTCCCCCCACTAGTAACTTTATTGCATATGTATAGTAATTTTATACAAATGTTTGATACAAATCTTTAAATTTTAAATGTATTTATAATTTAAATTTTAATTTTTCAGCAAAGGCAAGGTGAGGATAAGTGAAATCCGACAAGTCAAGAACTGAAAAGCATATGTCAAAGCATTCTTTTGTAATAAAAATGGATTTACATATCACTCTTGTTTAGTTTCCAATGTGCATCTTTACCTGTCACCATAGGATAAAACTTTTTCTGTATGAATTCATTTAATGTGTATACCAGAAGAAACTTGGCTCATTTTTAGTGTTTTAAAACCTTGCTATAAAATACATATTTCAAAAGGTGTGTTTAAGATTAATCTTCCAATTTTTATGTAAAAATAAGAGACAGAATAGGAGTTCTGTTAGTTTTTCTGGCTCATTAACTGTGAGGCAGTGATGTCCTTTGATGAATCATGCCTGGTTTTCTTCTATATAGTAATCAGGGTATTGCAATATGCTGATTAACCGGTGACAATTCATTATTTTAAAATTTGCTTAGTGACACAATTCAATTAGAAATGTGATTTAAATCATGGTATAAACTAATAGTAGTCTTCATTTCTTTCCTCATTTCAAATTTGACAAGAACAAAACTTTTTCAGTGGCATGGAAAGATTTAACATGAAAGCATGCTTCCAAAATCTCATGTACGTCCACTTTGCTGAATCCAATTGCTCTTTCCATCCCTCAGTTCGCAAATCAATTTTCAGTCATTGAAAAGTTGCAAAATTAAAAACTTTGCAGACAAAAATACTTCTGTCTTGACTACATCTTTATTCTGTAAGGTACGATGCTAGAAAATTTATTTGCCTGTACCTGTGTAGTAAACATTGAAACATTCATCTTCGAGAAAATATGTATTAGGTCTGAGTGATTTTAATGGATAAAGAAACATGAATGTTGAAAATTTAAAGGTTAAAAGCACAACTTTATTAGCATCATATGAGCCAAAGCAGCTTAATTTTCATTTCATATTCAGTACAGTCATGGAAGAAGAGGGTATTTGAAAACAGCCAAAAGTAAACATCGGTTGATTCTCTTCTTGCTGTTTCACAGTACGTAGCATAGGACAGATTTATGATGTTCTAGTGTTATACAAACACTTTTTACACAAAATTTTTGATGAACCAATAAGTAATTATCACGTCTTTCAAAATAGTACTTTTGTTGTGTTGAAAGATGCATTTTGTTAATTTAAATAATATTTGGTTTACAAGTCTCAGTAATTGGTAGAAATATTGGGCAGTAAATTTTGATTAGAGTATTTTTTGACCAGGTTTATGAAGATAAAAGATGAATATTACAGTAAATTCTGCTTGTTTCTTAGGCATATTCCTAAGATTGGCACACAAGAAGAAAATACTAAAATGCAAAGGTTGTATGAATATTATTAAAATTAAGCTCATCAATTCTACTACCTTATCAAAGATGCTCTTCAGGAATGTGTTATCAAAGCTTATTTAGATTATCAGTGTTCTTCCTGCTGTTTGTAAATTATCCCAGTTCTTGCAGTATATCTTTAATTTCACTGATATGCTCTTTTTTTCGACTTAAGCATTCATAGCAAATTCCTGGTACATGAAGTCTACAAGATCCAAATCCAGAAATGATAGGTGTGGATATGCAATTTTTGCCATGGAGGGACAAACTGACAAAGAAGCAGACTATCTTTTCTTACTCAGCATTGTCTAAATAAATACTAAAATCATTCTTGACATTTTTTTCTCTTATTTCCTTGACATGAACACTTCTGTTGACAATTGTAATAAGAGTTTGTAAGATATGGACGAATTGAGACTTTTCAGGGGGGGGGATCAAACTTTCACTCCTGTGATATTTGCAAACAAGTATAAAATAAAAGCAAGGTTTGTGATCCAGGGTAATTGGCAATGAAAACCACCACTATATATGTTTTGTTGCAGATTCTTATTTAATTCACAATCATCAGTGATCACAGTATTGAAGTTCTTTATAATTAATTCAGTCATATGCTAAGTGCTTTTCAAAATAAACAACTTCCCAAATTCTTCAAGATCACACAATAATTGTAGGATTCCTTTAAAATAATGCTGGCTTCACTTTAAAAGAGTATTTGTTTACAACCTTTTGCAAGGAAGGTATGAGTTTGAATGTCTTAATTTTCAGATAGTACTATTACATACCTCTGAATACTGGCATGTGCTGGCTTTTAATACGACTTGCACTAATGCCCAAACTAAATGTAATGCAAGTATCTTGATGCAAATGCAATTGTGAACTGTCAGTATCAGTTTGCATTCTGTCATGCAAATTATGTATTAGCTATACACATTCCTTTTAAAATAATTACTGTTTTTCTGTTTCGTGATAGGATTAAAGATTGGTTTTGAGTTTGGGAATCCTTCACTAGTTCATTACAGTCTAAGAATATACTCATAGTTGAACTGACTTATCATAGATCCATAAAGAACCCATTGGATGATGTCTTAAAATTGTTCAGTGATATAGATCAATGCTTTATTACAGATTGTAGAATATTAGCTCCAATGTTGTAGGGACTTGCAGATAGTTTCAAGTGTGTCATCGACATAGCATTTAGTACTAATAGTACAGAATATGGAAGGATTGCATATCACCAACTTGCTTTTAAAATTGCACCTTCTGCACACACATCAGTCAAGCATTGTTTTAAAAGTAAATGGATTAATGAACATTTGCCAATTAGATTACAATCTCTAGCTCATAACTATTAGATATTGTGGGAATGGGGACTGTAGCTCCCTGGAAATTTTGGAAAGAGGCTCCATAGCCCTATGTAATAATTTAATTTTTTGTAAATTATGATAAAATCTTGATTCCACCCTTTTTTTGAAGCTGACAATTTGCAAAATTGATACAAATCATTTGGAGAAGCAGTTTTCTAAATCCTATGGCAACCCTTAAAATTGTCGAACCTAAAATCAATTGTATTAATAGAATTATTAAAGACCTAATCTCATCCTCCTTAAATGTTTTATTTATTTCCTAAAAAAATGTAAAAGGGGCTCCAGAGGTGCTCAGAAATTTAATCCCCTCCGTTTAGGCTGCGCACACTTATGTTCAGGAGTGAAGTGAGAAATATTGCCAAATAAAGACACTGTAATGTTATAAGTATAATATTTTATATAACCTAATCTGCATTATTAGATAAAAATTATAACTGTATAATGTGGTAACATTCATATAATACCAAATGTTATTTGGAATTGTCCATTTAGTCTTCAGTCTTACTGTTTCTTCGGTAAATGGGCTTCTAATCTCTATTCAAACATCAAAATAATACCCTTACTTTCCCTGAAATTCTAGAGGTGGTAGAATCTACAAGTTAAGGTATGTTGAATTCGAAGGGATTCGATTTGATGTTGAATTCAAAGGGAATTTACAACTCAGGCTGCTAAGCAATCCGATTAATACCATGCTAACCAGTCTTCATTCATTTTTTTTCTTGTGTTCTGTCTACTTATCTTATTCATTTGTTTCTCGGGAAACTGAAGAGGAGTTGTGAATAGTTTTATGGGGAACATCAGAGGGAGAACTTTCAATTCTAAATATACAAAGCTCTGAACAAAGTAGAAAATACTATTCAAAGATCTTGGGTACAATACATTCATTTTATGAGTATCGGTAACCTCAGTAAAAGGTGACCTGACATCAAATTTATCAGGGTCATAAATCACAGTGTTGCATGTTGTCTTCGCAATCTTTGCTCCATGCCTAATATTCTTGGGCGATTGATGAAACTACCAAGGCCAACATGGGTTATTACAGAAACGTAACCAGGACTTAATTGAGCCAGTCTTTATATCCAAGAGAGCAGTGTAGATTGTCAACTATAAAAAAGAAATGTATTAAATTATTATTGGTTATCAATGTTCAGGAAAATTCTGTAGTATATTTGTAAAATATTTTTAATAGTTAAAATTATTATTTAGGTAGAGCCTTTACAAAAGTGAGCAGATGCACTGTATTGCACAACTGAATCAATTAATTAGTTAGATCACAGGTGAGGTAGACACCTATTATTATGATAAATAAAGATGTTGTCTGGTATCAATAACTTTTTTATTAAGCTTATGATTGTTTTGATTGCATAGCGATCATCCTCAGAACTAAAATTCAATCAAGTTTGTAGTATTTTCTTAAGTTTTGTTTGTATGAAATTTATTACCTTATTGAGAACCGGCCGTGTAGAGAGGACATTGTATAAACCAGAAGCAAGTTGTTTTTGGCCATAGTATTTCAGACATGTTTGGGCAGGCATGCGTCGATTATCGTAGAAAGGAGGCTGCTCCCAGTGATCATAGTTAGTTTGGACCAAAAACCACGAGCCAGTTTGGGAAAGTGTTAAAATATCAAATTTATTTCGATCTCTTGTGATAATACAACCCTGGAAAGAGAAGGGTAATTTATCTTACTTCATTTGTGCTCTGCCTGAAAATTAACTTAACTTTAAATTGTGAACATATAACACTAATTTCAGTTGGCACAAAGGAATGTTCTATATTAATTTATTTAGTAAATGTCTATTTTTGATTTTGAATATTAATAATTTTCCTTTAAAATAGTATGATTACCTCTCCTGGCTGGCTACTTCCTAATATAAAATACACAGGTGCTACCAATGGTGGTTTTGCCAACATTTTTTGTGCTTGCAGGTACGAGTCAGCTTGCTCCATAACTTGTCTGGTTAAGAGACCCATCCATTGTTGAGAATGGTGTCCCAAAATCCATTCAGCCAAACCAATGTAGCCACCATTCAGTCGAAATCGTTCATCTACTGACAAACTAAATGCACCCTGTTGGGAAACAAAATGTGATTTAGAGAGAAATTATCAAGAAAGAGTTGTATAAATGACAGAATCATACCTTCTTCACTCCAGTCAGAATTCCAATATACCCTGCAAAGTTAATTGCTTCAAATATTTTTGTCTTGCCTTTTACAAAAACCACTTTGATTACTAAAGGCTTAAGGTGTTCTGTTGTAAGCCAGTTTTTTGTAGCAGGATCCCAGCTATGAACATAATATTTAATAATATTAAATGTATTTACTGTTAATACTTTACAATGGGTAAAATCTTACCCTAAAAAGAGACCAAAATCCAAATTTCGAGCATGATGAATATTTTTATTCTCATCTTGTGCCAATATGGAAGTACATAAACTAAAGAACTCATAAAAAACATTGAACAGGGTGATGTCTCCCAAAGACATATTAGCACTTTGTGACACCCCTTGCAGCTCTTGTTTATACGGTTCTGGTAAAGTGTCTGTGAGAAGAGGTAGGTATTGATCTACTAAATGAAATACTGAGGTGCCAAATAATTGATCAGTATTATTGCGGATTCCTTGTAAAAGCTGCAACATCTGAAAATTTCAAAGAGAGGATTGCAAAATGCTCAGTATTCATAATAAATAAATTTAAAAAATGAAGCTATTATCATAACTCACAGCAAATTTTTTGTCCTTAATAACTTCATCCCAACGGTGTATTGGATCTTTCATTAGATCAACTTTATATTCTGGCAGTGAGCTATGTGAAGTTAAAAAATACATTGTTATTCAATTGCACGCTATTGCTTAACATAGAGAATGTCATTAAAATTACCTAGTTTCAGGAACTTGTGTTCTTTTCCGACAGCCTTTGAACTAATAACAGACAATTTTAATTAAAAGAAAATTGTTGAAGGAATTGCAGCAAATTCAGGGCTACAAGAGAATGACATGGTATTAACTTATGGTACATCAAAATTACTTACTGGAGGGTATTCAGAACCATTTCCGTACGGTTCAATCATAGCACTCTTCAAAATCAATTCTTTTGCAATCACTGTACACCATAGTGAAACAAAGAAATAAATTATGTGAGGCATTCTCGATTTTCTATTTATGAAGAAAATTCACGTAAATAATACTGGCTAATGAATTAAAAAAGTGCTTCAGGAAACTAATGTCTTCCAATATTCAATACTTTTATGACTTGACAGAAGCTCAAATCTGTACCGCGCCGATCTGTCACAGATGAACTGTCAAATGCGCGGAGCAATCTTCCCAGCTGATAGAAATTGGCAATTTAAAAGTAGTTCCTCAATTCGCCAAAAGATAGCGCGGTGATTCAAACTTAAAGAGGAGGATTGTACATGTTGTTTACAATTTACAAGAGAGGGCATAAGAATCGACTCAATGTGTTTGTAAACTGGGTATTCATCGGGTAAATTTTCACGTGCAGCATTAATTTTGAACTTTGTGAATTGTATACTTTGCACGTGGACATAGAAGTTAATTTACTGCATGACTACTCTCCATACGAAGTGTTTAATACTCTCCGCAAGTGAAGACTAGGGTTAGAATCCGTACATTCTTTGCGGGCAGCTGATGGCCGTCTATAGGAGTCTGCCCAGGAGCAGACAGCCGTGAGGTGGGATAGGAAAAACCGCGGAATAACGTTTGAATTATGTGTTGTTCTGAATGAATAACAATGGGGATGCCGAGTAGGCGGGACACGGGTGCCAAGAAGTTGGACCAGTCTGGCGTGTTTTGCAGTAATTAGTGAGTAGATCACCCCTTAAGTTTTCAATGTCAAAACAGGTTCACCCACTTGTCAGATTGTGATGCTCAAAAATGATTGTTTTTCACTTGTGACTGAAGATTTGAAGTGACGGAGAATATCCTTGAACCTCAGTAAAATGCTAGAAGAAGTGTTATTTTGTGTGAAAGATGTATTGTTGCAAGATCTGCAGTGAGAAGTTCCTCTGATCTGCACATTGCCCTACTTTGATTAACTGCAGTTCTGATTGTTATGATTGGGTTTAAGTTGTTTCATGAGGAGAACAATACTGGGTGTATGAATTTACTCCTCTGTATGGTTTTCAGTACACAGTTTTGTCAAAATAATCATGGATTTGTGTGTATGCATGTGTAATACTAGGTTGCATACTGTCACGTTTCAAAATCAATTTGCTCTTTCACACAGAAGTCACTTGCTTTCATTGTAAGTGGTAACACCAATTTCTTGACATAATTAATGCTGTTTGATTCATTGTGGGTGCATTTGTGGAAATTTATTTACAAATTGTTGCATGTTCATTAATATTTAGAGGTAGTGTAGTTGCACTTAAAAATTTAAACGAATGTAACATGATTATGGGTTTCCATTATTTATTCAGGCTGGAGAGGCACTGCCCCCAGCTTCGGCTCTCCTGGATGTTAGTACCTCGCCCACCACGCCCCCGTCAACGATGCAAAGCTTGGAGGCTGCATGTGAGGAAGCTGAAGTAAGTGACTTTCATCAGTGAATGGTGTCTAATTACAAAATGTTTTTTGCGTAATTAAACTCTATAGACAATGAATTATCAATGATGTAATGGAGATCCGCAGTGGTATATTTGTCAAGACATTGTAAGGTTAGAAGAAATGTGTATGCGTGATAGAATTAATGATGTGTGAACAAGAAGAATAAAAGTATGTGTAGATTCAGTGTTTAAATGTGTTAATTGTGGAAAGTATTTATTAGTGATAAGAATGGTGGTTGATATTGCTATGAGCAAATTGAGGTAAAAGTTATTCAAACACCAATATCAAGTATATGGTTATGTGGTTGCCTGTTTTTGAAGATAGGTAACTGGAACTCTTCCTTTGTTGTATTACTTCTTGACTTCTTATATTTCATGTGTTAAGTTGCACAATGTTTTGAAATTTCTTTTCTTCACAATTTTAACAAAAGAATGCAATTTATTTTCAATAAGTGATTTAAAAATGAAGTACTTATATTTTTTCACAATTCATACGATACTTATCGTATGAATCATTACGTATTGGTTGTAAAATTTAATTATTACATAAAACATGAAATTTTGCTCATATTTTAAGAAAATTTCGGTAGTAACTAACTATACTTTGGGGCTAAATTGCTTTCAGGCATTTTTGAGTTTATGTAGAACTATTATAATTATATTTTGTTTATCAAGTTACTTAATGATTTTTGTATTTGAAGGTTAGTGCAAGGAAGAAACCTTCTTAATTTAATGTAAATGAAAAAAGGCCCAATAATGTATTACTTTGCTTTATTAATCTAACAATCAGCTCAAAAATGGCAGCTATCTTACTAAATTTGTGACAAACTTCAAGTAAAGTTTCATTTATTGCATTATATTACATCTTCGTATTCATTTAATACATGAAGTATGTCTGGCAATCTGCTCTTGCTCTTTAGGGAAAAAAGAGGTTATAATAAATGTGTTGTAAAAAAATTAAAGGAAAGTTAATTATAGTTCCACACTTCTATTTAGTTTATTTTTATTCAGTTTCAAACAAACTTATGAGTGTCATTGTGAACAATTGTTCGCCTTTTGAATCACTTTGAAAGTGTTTCTAGTGTGGTCTTTATTGATGTTTTGGCAATGAACAAAGTTTAATAAGAACCTATTTTATGCTTTGTAGTGTATTCAGAGTCAAGTATCTATTTCAGAGAAATTTCACCAGCAAATTGATTGAGATGAAACCGAATACCATACATGCAGATTTTAATTATTGTTGGTTATTTAGTTTAACATTGTGCTTCATAATTTTAGGATCATCAATGTTGATAATTCTATGTGAGCATAAATGTACAAAAACTAAATTTAGCTTGTTTGTAATATAAGGTTAAATTCTAGCTCAGTTAAGTGCTCAGATATTATGTTAATGCACAAACCTATTTATTTGAAACTAAGTCATGTGTGGTGTTTGTTATTTCATCATGTAGTGCTTTGTGTCTTATGCATGCAAAATTGCACCATCAGCTGTACAAGTTTGCATGACCTGAGGAGGTAGAGTATGTCATGAAGGGTCTGTACAGTGTGTTCTTGGAACTGACCCTGCAAAATATTTATTTCCTTGCGCAGACTGCTGCCTGCTCTTCGGATCATGAGGGAATTCAGAATTTTGTTGATGTGAGAATGTTTTTGACTTGACAGACTCTTCTTTGCATGAGGAGAGATCTTGGGGCTAAAGCTGGGTCTGTGATTGGTAGCATTGATCCTGTTTGTAAAACCATTGGCATGAGGTGATATATCTTTATTATGAAAAATTAGGGAATTCTGAGAGGAATTTATCTAGATGGTGAGATATTACACTTAAGTAGTTATGCAATAAGTACATTTGGGGATTTTGGTTACAGAAATTGATGTACTATAATGGAATGTGAATTGATTGGTGTATTTATTTTCTGTTAGTGGTTGTTCATTCCCATGACCCCTTCCAATAAAGTTTTGAATATTTTCTTTGAGAGCTGGTTGTTTTAGGATGTTAGTACATGTAGAATTGGTATTTGGTTGCAGCAAATCCTGGAAATTGCTACCAAGACTCCTCACATTGTGCCTCCCAGCACCATCAGCAGTGACGACAGCAGTGGCCATTTCCCTCTGTTTCACAAGCTAAGAGAACTGTACGTGGCAGAAGTAGCATTCCAGCACCTGCAGCCTAATCAGGTACTTTTGTAAAATACTTTGTCTTTCACTAGATTAGTTTTTAAATTTCTCCACAAAATGAAGAATTAGGTTTGTAGGTCAATTTTGATGTAGTATGATTATAAGTGTATGTACATTGTAGATGTGATGTCTTATAAGTATTGTCTCTTTAACATTCTGGATAGATAGGATGTGACCTTATTGATTGTAAATTATTTAACTTGTTATTGGAACTTGTATGCATGGGAGTGAAGTTCAGAGTATTGAGGAATTGTTTAGAGTATTGAGTAAATGGTTCCAACATAGCACTGAAAGTTTCCTACGTAAAATTACTAAGATATCTTCATAAAATTTGTTGATAAAATAAACTAACCCAAGGAAATAGATAGGAAAGCATTTAGCTGTCATTTCTTTTGACCATAGAGAATATTTGTGTTTTTCAGGAGTTCACATGATGAAGACTCTTATTATCTAACCTGAGTCAGTCTGATTAGATATTTGCTCTATTTCCAGCATTGTTTAAGCAATGAGTATTTTAATTATTGTGGAGATTATTCAGTTTGTAAAGCATATTTGATTCACCATGTCATTATACATAATAGTGTTTAGTAGTTTCTTTGTTTTCAAACATATTAAATGTTTCATGTGATGCATTGGAAATTTATACTTTTCTTTCTCACTTTATGATTTGAATGAGGTAGAGTTAATAATGAATTCATGAATTTAATGTTCAGGTACATTTAAAAAATAAAACAAAGTCAGGTTAGTTACACCATTTATAACTCAAGAACAGTTGGGCCAATTTTAATTATCTCTGATGTGTTGGTTTTATCTCCGCCCCGATTAGCAGAATAACTATTAAAATATCGGAAAAATTCATGAAAAGAAACAAAAACAAAATTAAATATTCAAATCAAATGCAACCAGCAACACTCAGAAGGATTTTTGACTCTCTATTGTTAGAAAAGATATAAACAAAGTGTTCTAGGGAACTAAAATTTTGAGGCCAATGCTTCAAAGAAATGTTTCTCACATCGTAATCTACAGGATGAGATCTTCTTGAACATTCTATTACATTTTTGCTGGTCTGGTGCTTCTCGATATTACTCTACCTGCTCCGAGATGTGCAGAATCTGCAACTAAATGTGTATGAGAAGGACAGACTGACAGACATACATAAAGAGAGACACATAGTGACAGAGTTTGTCAGATTGAAACAGAGCAAGAGAGACGGAGAGGGGAGGAGAAAGAGGGAGATAAAGAGCAGAACAACATCTGCCTGGTTCCCCTAGTTTTTAATATTTATAGGAAAAAATGTGTGTACTGAAAAATAAAGAATAGAATTGTTGAGATGTTAATCATCAAAATGCTCTTATCTGATTATTTTAATAACTATGTTTAGGGAAATATAAATTTAATCTTTTCAGTAAGTACAAGTTATTTTAAATAATATTGACAAGCAACTTTGAATTTCATAAAATCTGCTTGAGAATTGCTTTTTTTCAAGTTCACATACATATTGTGTATTATTGATTTGTACTATTATGAACTTATTATGATATTTGTGGGGTGTTTGAAATTGCCAAGAGAAGGTATTTGAAGTCAAAGCTTTGGCATATCAACCACATCCATGTTCCATGAATCTTAATAGAGCCAAGTATTTTTTTCACAGCACGTTTCTTAGTGTGTTTTGGGCATTGAGCATATATACATCTGGAGTAATTTTTTTGTCTTTGGCTTCGTAACGTCGCAGTCAATCAATGCCTTTCATCCATTCGGCCAGGGGCTCGGCGCATTTAGAACATGGCCCAGACGGTGACCCGTCCAAGAATCCGTAGTGCCTGAAGTTCCTTAACTTCCAGGACTGCTCGGAGCGTAACTCAAGTAATTCGGCTAACGACGCCGGCAATATTCAGGCGATGTAGCAACTACATTGAAGAAGGGGTAATAGAAGACTTCTCTTTCAGAATAAATGTTGAGGAAGAAGAATGGTTGATAATGAAACGGCAAAACCTGAATCTGAATGAGGAAGGGCGGAAAAATTCCATGATAGGATACTGAGAGGAATAACAGTGATTATTATGTCAGGAAGGCTTAAATTAAGTGATGGAAATAGTTTCTGAAATCTCATTCCAGTTGCATTTTCCAATACACAGAATTAAATTAACGAGAAAAAATATTCACATAGAAATTTACTGCGGTACACTGAAGACAAAAAATATTTATTGTTACACATAGCGCTTATTCCCCAAAAAAATTAATGCAATGAAAACCACAAAAAAGAACAGATTTTAAGAAGAGAGATTTCATTGTAGTCTAAGCCGGCATCTCAAAGGAGCGGCTTGCTGCAACGGATGCTTCGAAATTTGATCGGGGGAGGTGACGCTTTAGCGAATGTTGGTAGTATCGTTCCTTGCCCCTCTTTTCCTTGTTTTATATTTTTAATTTTTTTTAAAAATTTATTTCGCCAACCATGTTTCATGCAAACGCCTCACTCGTGTCCCGTGGCACGCAGCCATTGGAAGGGAGTGAATGGCTCATGAGTTTAGTTTCTTGAAGTGTTGATCTTAAGGTCTTTCACACACACTCACACACGGCCGCGCGCGCCCACACACAATTTATACACGTGTATGTATATATATATATATNNATATATATATATATATATACACACACACACTTTTATGACACAACAAAAGGCCAAAAGTAGTTGCAGAAGTGGGGTGCAGGATTTGAGACCACTATCGCTGTTACCGCTTCCGCTACTTTCTCGTGTACGTATTAGTGACAAAGTACGAGGGCTGTTGGATAAGTTTGATAAAAATGGAAGAAAAAAAAATTGAGAACAACCTTACCTTATTTTTCAACGTAGTCTCCTTCTCGATCTATACACTTTGTCCAGCGTGTTTCCAATTTTTTCATCCCATAGGAAAAATGGGAATTGTCATATTGCGAAATACCCGTTTACCAATCACTTCCTCATTTGATGAAAAGTTTTGCCCACCAAGCCAAATTTTCAAATTGGTGAATAGAACGAAATTACTTGGGGCTAAATCCTGTGAATATGGTGGATGAGGAACCAATTTGGATCCTAACTGATGCACTTTTGCCATTGTGTGGGATGGAGCTGCTGTGTGGGATGGAGCATTGCCTTGGTGGAACAGCATTTTCTTGTGCGACAACCTTGATAGTTTTTCGACCAATTTCTGTTTTTAATTATCCAAAATGAAGCGTAATAGCACCCAGTTATTGTTCTGCCCTTTTCCTAATAACCTATAATGATTACTCCCTGATAATCCCAAAAAACCGTTGTCATCACCTTTCCTGCCGACAAAACTGTCTTCGACTTTTTCGGTGCACTCTCACCAGTCTTTATCCACTGTTTTGAATCTTTTTTTGTTTTGTTTTCGGGAGTGTAGTGGTGGATGCATATTTCATCTACGGTGACGAATCTGCCCCAAAAGTCCTGCTGATTTGGCCCCAACATTGTCAGATTTTGCTTTCAAATGTTCTCTCAAGTCAGTTTTTGATCCAAAGTGAGCAATCGCGGCACCCATCTTGCGCACATCTTTTTCATGCTCAGTTTTTCATGCGAGATGAAGTGCACTCTTCCAGTTGTGATGCCAACAGCATCAGCAATCTCAAGCACTTTCAATCTGCGATCTTCCGTTACCAGATCGTGCACTTCTTCCACGGTTTTCGTTGTGGTGATCTCAACTGGCCGGCCAGAGAGAATTTCATATTCTCTGCCTCTGCGACCACGTTTGAACTCATTAATCCGGAAGTAAATTGTCTTCAATGCTGTCGCAGAGTTTCCATGCACTTCATCTAATTCATTTTTGATCCGCGATACTGTCCAGCCCTTCAAATAAAAATGTTTAATCTCAGCGCGAAACTCCTGTTTCTCTATTTTCTACGCCGCACGTGAAGCTCACACTTTCAGCTGGTTGCCAACAATTAACTACGCGTCGCATTTGTTTGATCATTCTAACAGCTACTTACAAGCACAGGTGCCTACATGCATAGGTTTAATAACAATGCGCGCTGTTTCATAGAAATTTACTAGACTTATCAAACGATGATGTCAAGATTTGAACGAGACGTAAATATACTAAAACTTATAACAATGATTTAACAAAAATGTGGGAAGGCATGCTATCATACAGCTCCAGCAATGACCCCGCGCCAACGGGCGAGGCGTCAATAAGCTTGCAACATGCGATTTCAATGTAGGAGGTTAATAGTAGGCTCAATTTTGTTTCCAAATCGCTTGAAGATTCGGAAAATTAGAATGTTCAAGATTTTACCACCCAAAGGACCACAACTGAAGATAGGGGTGTTTTTTTCTGAATAGTATGTATTCATTAAAGTTCGATCTTTAAGACTTAATGATTAGACAACACTTACTAGTAATATCATGGAGATTTGTAAAAATACGTATACTTTTGGAGTAATTTTGAGTCAAACACTTATGCAAAACAAACTAAACAAGATTATCTTATTTTAATAAAATGTGATGGAGTAGATCAGAGTTAGGTTAAAATATGTTATATTTAAGATATTCATTAAAACATTGAAATTAAAAATAAACGATGTATCGTTTAATTTTTAACGTTTAATTTTTAATTAAACATTTCATATTTACGCTGGCTTTTTAAAATATAGTGTTTTGATAATTTATTCATTACTGAACACACCATTTCAAATAATCTCGTGACATTTTGAAAGTTTTATATTATAAATGTTTATCTTAATCTGTGATATAAAAGGGTTTAGCTGCAGTTTAATATACCAGCAGTCATCGTTCCGACGTCCTACTCCTTAACCCGGAGTTAGAATCGTGGGGAGAATTTTTTAAATTTGTTTCGCCGAACATAGCAAAAAAGTGCACTTACAAGGTGATGTAAGATTTTTCACTAACCCTTGATCTTTCAAAAATTGAAAATTCTGATATCCCACGTTTGTTTTGCTAAAGAGTTTTTCATGTATTAATCTGAAGAATTAGTAGGATACGAGTCAAC